CATTTTTCTGAAGGAAATGATAAACTATTTGAAATGTGCATGAAAATAGGCACTTACCACTGATAACTAACAATTGAAAATACTGTCCATAATCCTTTTCATTATCAATCTCCACCACACACCAGTAATCAGTGTTTTTATCTGTCAGTTCGTTTATAGTAACGGTGAAAATTTTCTGTATTTTGTCATCAGAGATTAAATATTTTCCTGAAGGGTCTGGTGTGTTTGTTTTTACTGCATATCTGCAGGAGCCCCATATATGTCCTTTACACAAGTACTTCACATGGTCTATATATTGTGACTCATAGAGACATGGGATGGAGATAGGTTTTCCAGCTTCCACTGATACTTTACTGACTGTAGTTATGCTGTGAACTCCTGCAACAAGAACAAATAAATAAATATAAACAAATTAATAATCTTCATGTTTATGTTTAATTAAAACATTCTTCTTTCACTTGTCTCTTGTACATGTGGACACTTAGAGTATTGTTAAGTACAAAAGTGAATAATACAAAATCTCTTTAATGTAATAATCTGCTGAGATTAGTCATTGAAACATGAGGTATTTAAATGATTGCTTTGACCAACCTTTGAGCACACTGAAGAGGAGAAGAACGATGAGATGAGCAGCCATGCCTGTGAGTGAGTAGAATTAAAACACATGAACCACAGTCAAATCATGATCTATTTTTGAATTCGTATTTTTGAAACGTGCAAATGCAACACTTCAAACTGCCTTCCTCCTAGTTCCTCTACTATAAGCTGTATTTTTTTTCTGCTGTAGACAAGATATAAAAATTATCATCCACAATATTCAAAATCTTTATGAACTCATTTACTAATAAGAATATGCATTCTCATAATATAATAACACAGAATAACACTGAAAGTGCAGGAATTGGGAATAATATAAAAACAAAAATGTTTAAAATGCGCTATGAGTTGTCACAAAATCTGAAAATAGAGGTTAGGATAATCCTTTGATGCTGATGCTTACAGCTTATTGGGGATAATGAGATTATTTTATTTATGTTATGTTATCACCTCTTCCTGACTGAGAAAATATAATTTACAGAAAGATTAAACAGTGTCAGCCTGATCTCACTTGCAACACAGAATGCAGCACTCAGCATTTAATCCCAGACATATTTACTTATTGAGTATAATATTTCACATTGTAATTTATTATTCTTTTAGTACCATGCTCACAAGGAAATAATTCGGTGCAACAAACAGAGTGCCGCCCTGTGTTTTTTTTTTTACTGTGACAGATCAAAATGTCCATGAAAATGGCCTCGAAATTATTGTAATAAATTTACAATAATTATTTACCTTAAACAGGTAACACTGTGTTAAAATGTCAAAAAAACACCAAACAACTAAATACACAAAATCTTTATTTAAAATCGAGGTCATGAAAGTTACGTTCTCTTTCTTGGTTATGTTATATTTCTGGACATTTTTAACACACATTTTTAATGACTGTTTTGCTGTGTTTTTGGCTTAAAAAAACTAATAAAAAAATAGTTACTTCTGTTAAAGCTGTAAAGGATTTTCCCTCATTTGCATCTTTTAAGGCTGCCTTGCACCTGGAGAAAGCATGCCCTTTCAGTATTTAATTAAATTTGTATTAAAATTTCAATTAAAAGCTACTTATTTTGATGAACTGGTGTTAATTATATTTTTGTAAACTTTGAAGATTGCATTGAATGACTGGCCCAACAAAATGTCAACACCACCTTGTCCAACAAGAACTTTTAGGTTTAATCTAAAGATATGCTAATATTTAAAGATTTACAGACCCAGAATTCATTTTTCAAAATTTCATAATTTGTAAAAACAGAGAAAAACAAAAAAACAAGAACTTCCTTCAAGTAACTAAAAAGAAATCACAGTATAAATAATA